AGGTTTCTACATAGTGTGCACACACATTATTTGAGCATCTTCACAAAGGCCGTTGAAGAAAGGGACCCATACCAAGGAATGTAACCCTTCCTGAAAGGGCTCTGAAGACAGTCTTATTTTGCAAATCGACACTAAGACACAAGGAACGCTAATACTTAGCACAAGTGAACATGACCAAATGCAGCAGAGCTGGCTCTGAGCCATTGTTCTCAGGCTCTAACATACCTGTGTGGACACTGTTGAGCGGTACCACTTAAACACGTGGCTACTCTTAACTAATGGGCGAGATCTGCGTTGGTGAGACAAAATGAGGCTATAAGCCCAGAGGGGGAGCATTAAAGGCTGAAGAGAGTAAACGGAAAACGGCTACTAAAGGAGTGGGCGTTCACACCGTGATACAAGAGCTGGCACTGGTGACAACGAAGTGTTCTGAAGGGCTGACAGCAAGACATGGAACGAGTCCTCTGAAGTCCTCACTCCCTTTCTGGAATTTCGATAAGCCAGTCAGCTATGTGGGGAGACAATCCATAATATTTACTGAGTACTTTTCATGAACTACCCTTTCTGGGGCCATAGAGTCCCAGAATGTTAAGTGCAGAATAAATGTTGCTTTGATTTAATGGACATAGGCTTGGCCTGGCAAGAAGAAAAGTGCCCCGTAAATTCCACATGATCAGCTAACGGGAATCTTTTTTGTTTTGTTTTTCGAGACAGGGTTTCTCTGTGTAACTTTGGAGCCTGTCCTGGAACTCACTTTGTAGACCAGGCAGGCCTTGAAACTAATGGGAATCTTACAAGAAAGAACTAAATGGGAAATCATTAACAGAATGGTTAAACAACAAAAACAAAACAAAACAAAAACACTTCCAAATTCCATCTTAGGAGTAACAAGATCTGTAGGATTGAAGAATTTAGGGGCAACTGCTGTTCTGTGACCAGTCAAGTACTGGTCTCAGCCTTCCAGGGCTCTTCCTGAACCACAATAGTTGAAGCAAAGCCTCTCCCTTGTGTCTATATGGCTTCTACACATTATCCCGCCTAACCTCTGACACATCCAGGCAGGAAAATGAACATACATATTTGCGTAAGATACAAGGCTGTGTAAACAAACTCTTAGCCGGTTAAAGGGCACCATGTTATAAATTGCCCTTGTTATTATTTTTAATGGGTTCTATGCATCTAAAAATCTGTTTTATATTCTCTCTTATTCCCCTTGGGTGCTTTCCACATTTTTTTAATGTACAACTCCAAGCTCTCTGAATTAACTCCCATATTAAAAATTTAAAAACTAAAAAATTACTAATGTATAAGTTTTTAAACTAATGAATGTAAATTTTCTCCAGAGCCCCATAATTTGCCAATTAGCTAATAATTCTTATTTCCATTAATGGGTTAAAATGGGATCTACTTTGAAATGTACTTTGTGAGTATATTTCCGTCATAAATATGAGCTCCAGCTCAGAGATGTTAACTTCCAAGACTTTTTAGGTCACATCAGATTTTTCTCTTTATGATTTTGCAGAGGTTAGTGAAAAATGGACTCAACTATTGGCTAGAAACTGAAACACAGAAGGGAGGAAAAAGATGTTTATTATTCAGTGAGTCAACAAAGAATGTGCTCTGGCTGCTCATTATCACACCCTTTAAAATGCAGGCTTAGCCTGGAGACAAGCAAAAATGCAGAAAATGATAAACACAAGGCCTGTGCTTCCTCTTCAGTATATTGCTTCTTAACAAGATTGCTAATGTCTTATTGAAAGCCAGAAGAGCTCAGAAGTCTTTAGGATTAGAACATCAGGGAGACTTATAATAAGATAACAACAACAACAAAAACTGGGTTACTGTCAATAAGCCACTCCAAATAACTGACTTGGAAATGTATCTGAAAGTCATTGAGTATTTTTATACTGTCTCTGCTTTTAGTTTTCAAATGCTAGATGATTGGTGCTGACCTTTGGCTTGTCCTGTTCTCAGCCAAGACCAACTCGGAGGTATTTATTTACTTAGCTAACTTCATCATTAAGGCTGCCAAAGAGGATCTGGGATGGCAGCAATGCAGGATTGCAGGTTTGTAAAAGGGATAAGTATCATTCAGTAATGTGCTCATGTGTTTTTACAGCACCCATACGAGTACATGGAAGGGTCACACTATTTCCTCTTTACAGTGAGGAAACTGAAGGAATGAGAAAGCAAACACATCGGATGATCGTGTGGACTGCATGGTGACTACTGCTGCTTGACAAAGTTCCAGAACTTCGACATTGCCAACCACACTTCTCCAGCACCTTTTTACTTTGATTTTTAATGATTCTCACTCAGTATTAATGCCTTTCCCTTTGGAAATTTTGTGTGGGCTTTGGTAGAGAATGAAAATCTGTACAATGGTAGCTTCACTAAACAAAATAATTATTTGTGAAAAATCCCCACCGCTGTGGAGCCCAGAATTGAAACGCATGCTCCTAATTACACCAAGAACAGGAATGTTAGAGGCACACCTGATCCCAAGGATTCAGATCCAGAGCCTGTGGTCATGAAGGCCAAGAGTTCAGTTAATCAGTGTAGAGAAATCAGAATGGTATGGTATAATGGGAAAAGAGTAAGACATCAGGATCTTCTCTTTTGGGAGCGCTATGAGGGAAACAGGCCCAGATAGTAAGACTAAGAAACTGTAGTGTCTGCTCCCCAGAAGTCCTTTCCCAAGGTCAGGATAAGGGCCTCCATTCCCTTGGGAGCTTGAGCCAACTTTCTGCTTGATAAAGCAGTCACTTTTTTTTCTTTCTCCCTTTCTTTTCTTTCTTTCTTTCTTTCTTTCTTTCTTTCTTTCTTTCTTTCCTTCCTTTTTTTTTTTTTTTTTTTTTTTTGAGACAGGTTTCTCTGTGTAGCTGTGGAGCCTGTCCTGGAGCTTACTCTGTCCTCGAACTCACAGAGATCTTTCTGCCTCTGCCTCCCTAGTGCTGGGATTAAAGGTGTGCACCACTATTTACCACTAAGGTGGTTATTTAGAAACAAGCTGGCTAGCATCCTTCAAATAATCACAGTCCAGTGCACGTGAAATTGCACTAATAAAAACAGAGTTCAATGAAAGAACAGGATCATTGTGGAATATTACTTTAGCTGTGTAAAGATTGTTACATTTGTTTATGCTGCATTTGGTTAATTATGTAAAGATGTGTCGCATTTGTTTTACCTTGCCTGCCTAAAGCATTGGTCTAATAGAAAGCTGAATGGCCCATAGCTAGGTAGAAGAGGGTAGACAGGTGGAGCTGATAGTCAGAGAGAATAAGTAGGGGAGGAAATCTAGGCAAAAGAGAAAGGAGAACAAGGGAGAAAGAGGGAGATGCCCAGGTCCAGAAGCCAGGCAGCTGCCAGCCAGCCAGACCCAAGTAGCATTGAAAGTAGGACAGACAGACGGAAAGAAAGGAAGAAAGAAAGAAGGAAAGAAAGGTAAAAAGGTCCAAAGCCGGAAAGAAAGGAAGAAAGAAAGAAGGAAAGAAGGAAAGGTAAAAAGGTCCAAAGCAAAATGTAGCTGAAGAGAAACAGATTAAAATAAGCCTGAGCATTCACAACTAAGAATAAATCTCTGTGTCATGATTTGGGAGCTGGTTGGTAGGCCAAAAAAAAAAAAAAAAACCAGAAAGAAAGAAAGAAAGCCTGCTGCATAGGATGGAGGGTGACTTGAGCTCTCTGGAAGGTTCAGAATGGTTTTGCGGGGATGGAATCTAAGCCAAGTCTTAATAGGTTGTGGGTGTTAGACAAAGTTTTCAGGGTAACAGAGGAGATACAGGAGCAAAGATAAAGAGAATTTATTTAGTTGTTGCATGGAACTTGAGACAGGGGCAGATAGAAGGAGAGAGGAAGAATTCAGTGTTTGCTGATGTGCTTGTTTGCTTACTCTGTGGCAGAGTGGAAGAGAACAGGGTAGTAGGGTAATCACTTGGGCTGTTGTAATGGCTCAGCAAAGAGATAACAGATCTAGAGCAGAGCAAACGTGGAATAGAAAAGCATGGATCTGAAAGACAGCAGAGATACGAATCTATGTGATTTGGCAACTGGTTGGACACTAACTATGAAAGAAGATGAGGAACCATGGTTCTGAAACATCCAACAATTTTACACTTGAGTTTCTCTTAGAATAGACCTAAGGGAAATTGGTTGGGAATGTAAGTCTGACCATTAGGTCAGATGTAAATCTAGAAATCAGCTAGAGAGATAAGGCGGCTGAATCTGGGCCACAAGTCACTGAAGAATAACCCAGAGGACAAACAGCAAAGGGGTAAAAGGCAAGCCTTCAGGAAACACCTGCATTTTTGAAAGTAACCAAGGAGTGAGGGAAGAAAGGTTATTTTGTCACCTGAATGGTAAGAGAGGTAAGATGTAAGTAAGTGGTAGAGCATTAAAATCAAGAGGTTTCGGGACAGCTGAATACTGCTGAACAAACAAACATGAAATTCACTGTGGCCACAGAGGTCACACCCAAGCTCCTCAGTTCCGAAGCCACCTGCTGAATTATCACAAAAGAAAGAAATGGGCTTTTGCAAGAGAAACCCACTTGTCATTTTACCAACGGTTGGCCATTGCAACTCATTACAACATCCAGTCTTCACTAAACTTAAAAAAAAATCACTTACATCCTACACTTCTTTTCTTCCACAGGCTTTTTAGGTAACTATTATTAGTCATGTCCTTAGTTCTGCTTGCCCTCCTTCATTTTTGTGGTCCTGTTAGTTGCTGGGACTTCTGAATCAGAGGTAGGTTGGAGTGTAACCAAGAGTGAGCTTAGTGTTTGCTAACTTCCTCAAGCCTAGCTTTCCACGTGTGCAAAAGGGGAACGAGCATATCTACAGATTAGAATCCAGAAAAGTGCGCTAATGAAAGTAAAACCCTCACGTGGTTCTGTCGTCTAAAGTTTCATTCACTTTGTCGTTTTTTGGTTAAAAAATTTTTTTAATTGTTATTTCCCAGAGGGTAGAAGACTATTGCTCAAGGAATAGGATACCGACCTGGGGACAAGTCTCATTCTGTCAGCTCTCAGGAAAACATCTTCAGGAAGAGAAGGGCAAATAACTGACGACTCCCAGGGACTGTGTAGCCCACCTACGAGGACTGGCCGAAGGGACAGCGGAACTTAGAACGTCTAGACCTGCGTGGCCCTTGCAGGACAGGACTACAAGTCCCAGGACGCAGCGCGCCAGCAAGGCGCCTGCGCTTAGGGCTGTAGGCAAGGCGAAGGAAGCGGTGCACTTTGGGACTAGTAGTTCCCAGGTGGCAACTCCAGGGGTCGGAGGTGGGTCGAATGGACAGCTCCCTGCCCAGTCCCGCCTTTTGTCCACGTCCCGCTTCTCCTGGCCAATGCCCCGTCCTGTAGCTGTGGCCAGCCCCTCTCCGAGGCAGTTTCCATTGGTTCTGAGGCCATCCCACTGCTGCTCTACCCGGAAGTAGCCTTGGGGAGGCGGTTTCCTAGACTACGACACCGGAAAGCTGGGGGCGGTGCTCTGGGCCGTAGAGGGCGGAGGGTGGTGGCAGCGCTGGCGCTGGGGACCGGCTCGGTGGCTTCGGCAAACAGTTTGGCGCCGGCGGCCGCCTGCCTCACTCCACAGCCCGCCCTCGACACGGCTCGCAGCCTCCTCGCCGCCGGCATCCCGCAATGTGGTCCACCGTGCGGGTGTAGCATCTGCGCGTGCGCGGAACCGCGGGGCCATGAGCGAAGCCGGCGGCGGTCGGGGCTGTGGGTGCCGGGTCCCCCAGCGAGCGCCATGGAGCCTGGTGGCAGCGACGGCCGCTCTCTGCCTGGTGTTGGCCACGTCCGTGTGCACGGCGAGGGCCGCGCCCATGAGTAGGGAAGAGAAGCAGAAGCTTGGGTAAGGGTGCGTGGCTGTCCTGGTGGGTTTCCTGGCCAGGCTGCCGGCGGTCGCGGTGCCTGTCACTGCGCCCCCGTCGCGCAGCGGACTTTAGCTGTGGTGACTGGAACAGCTGGTGAGGCTGGAGGACCTCGGTGCGGTGGGCAGGGTCAAGGAGGATGGGAGCCCATCCCCACGACGTGACCTCGGGGGCTGTCGGGTGTCTCCTGGGCAGCCCGTGACATGTGCTGTGTTGTGTCACGGGGCTGGTGGAGGGGCTACCGCCTGGGTGGCGGAGTTCTGGGGGCGCCTTCTGGCAGAGGAGGGTTAGAGTTCTCGCCCAAGTGAGCTCCCAGCGGGAAAATGTTGCGCTGTTTACACCTGTTAAAGGAAAAGGGGCGTTCACTGGAACTTGAACTTTTCCGATGTCACTATCACCTTGCTGTGTTTTCTTTCCTATAGGGCATTTGCGCATGGGGCAGGCGATTTGATGTTATTTAAAGGCCTCGATTGAGTGTTATCCCTAACTCCCTTAGTGCAGTTTCATGAATCTTAAAAGTGTTACAAAACTCTCTAGCCTTCAATTCAGTAATTCTAATACATCCGAAGTGGCACAGATTAAATAAGAACAAAGTGGAGAGTCTGTAGAAATTGGCAAAACCGTGAACAGTTAAGCGAGAGAAGAGGAAATGCGTGCGCATCGGTAGCAGGAAGAGTTAATTGTGAGAGATGCTTATTAAAACAGCGAGGTGGGTGGGTTTTGCTTGTTTGGTTAATTAGCACAGAACACCAGGATGCAGCACTGGTTAGGGAAAATGTGAAAAAACTTGGTAGGAATGTAAATTCGTGTGACCTATTGACACCAACTCCTGAATTTTAAATTGTGCTTGTTCGTGGACTCATTTCTTTCTCTGGGGATCTCCCCTGCAGAAATAAAAGCACTGTTAGAGATTAAGTGTATAAAGGGGCGCATTTTGAAAGAACAGAACAGTTCCTGGGAGGAAAATGGTTGAATATGTTGGTTTGCTCTGTGTCATGGAATAATGTTCATACATTCAGAAATAGTTCTGTTATTAGAAGGCTATCCAGGATCTATTCCAAAGATAATAATAAAAAAAGCTAAAGCCAGTTGTAGGATAATATATAAATAGTAGCGGTACCATTTTATAAGAAAAAAAATTACCCAGATTTAGAAAAAAATAAAAGGTAACAAATATCCTATAATGTTCAGATAAAAGGGGAGTGGAGTCATTAGGTTCTAATAATATGCTCCTTTATTTCAATCATTGCAAAACAATTGTATTACTTTTTAATAAAAGTAATAAAAATCAGAGGAAAAGAAGATGAAGTGTCAGCTATCCAAAGAAAATTACCAGTGAATTCTAGTATTTTGCTTTTTTTTCTTTATAAGTTTAATGTATTATTTGGTGACATTTTAATGACTTCCCCACTCTGTTGCCATTTAACTCATGCCATCTCTAAAACTGTTATTATGTCATGAGGTGAATGCTGTCTCCATTGTTCAAAGAAATTGAGATTCAAGGTTAACTTGTTCAGGGTCTCAAAGCTGGTCATAGGTGGAATTGAGTTTTTGTTTTGTTTTTACCTATGTCTGACCTCATGTTGTATGCACAGTGCTGTATTTCCCGAAGATTGGGGGTATTAATTCTAGTATGGTTACAAATATTTTCTTTGACTTTTTTATTAAAAGTTTTCTTTGAGTCATTGGACAGCCAGTCTAGACAAACTAGTGAGCCCCAAGTTCAGTGAGAGATCCCGTCTCAAAAAATAAGGTATAAGAATGTGTGTGTGTCACATACACTGGAATTGTTGTGAACAGTTGCTTGCAGTTATATACCTGATATATAGTATTATCTTTCATGGAATTGTTTTTTTTTTTTTTCAGGACAGGAGATCTTGCTAATATTTTTGGTTGTTGGGGGTCAGATTTCAAGTATATCTTATACAATTGTTAAATAGATATAAGACTATTTTTAACTGTTTATTATAGTCATTGTGCCATTCTATACTTATGCCCACTTTGAAGTTTGTGTTGTGGAACTTGCTGATTGTATGTTGCAAAGATGCAAGTGTGTCTTCATATGCAATTATAATTTACCCACAATTTTGAAAGTTCATAGCTCTCAAAGTTGAGTTAACAAGTTAGTTTTTCACCTATGATGCACCTCCAGGCTCTAGCATTACCAGTGGCAAAAAACTTCCCTTCTTGATAGCAATCGTAGTTACTGCTGTTTGAGAGTTCCACACCATCTTCAAGATGAGTGACTAAATGGATTTAATAAGATAGTCCTTAATTTTCTGAAATTCCTTGGATCTGTGTAAACTTATAATGTTTAACACAGTAGTAGGGAGATTTTTTTTTTTTTTTTTACGTTTGTGTGTGTGCCATCGCACGTGGAGTCAGAACACCATGCAGGAATCAATCCTCTCCTTCCACCATATGGGTTTTTGGGATCAAACCCAGATCGTCAAGCTCTGTGGCAAGTGCCTTTACCCAGTGAACACTCTTGCCAGCCAAGTTCTTGGTTTTAATGGTTAGGTGTTTTAAAATAGTTCTAAAAAGTTGTCAGGACTATTTAGGTCGCAAAATGAAGTGTACCTAACCTTGCTGGTCATGACAACCATGGTTGAATATTAAGAGATTTTCTGCCTGCCAGATTTATTATTATCAGCATTTCACCATTCATTGTTCTGAAAATGACAATGTAGTATAGTAGGAAGGAAAATAAATATAACCAGGCATTTTCTTCACTCTTTTTTCTAGTCCTAGTTTTAGTAATGGAACTTTGGGAAGAGAAGAGGTGGTAAATACTGGTCTCGATGTTTTCCTTTGCCGATTATTGAATTAAGCTCTGTCCAGCTCTCACATTAACTTTTGTAATAGTACGCAAGTCCTGGTCATAGAAATGCTTCATTGTGAAACTCATCCCTTTGTCTCTGAAACCTTGTGGGCTCTGATTGAGTGAATCCGTTTGGGTACTGAAACCTCTGTTTTCAACAGCTGTATTGGAAGTTGAGAGAAACACATTCTCTCTTCTTTTCTTCCTCTGCTTCCCCTCTCTGCCCAGACTGATCTTAAGCTTGTGATCTTCTGGCTCCAGTTCCTTGAAAGTTTGAAGTCTCCCCTGGAACTTTAAAGTTTTTGTTTTTGAAGTGAATTCTACTTTTTCAGAGTGTTTTTTAAGAGACCAGACTACGCCAGAAAGTGTGTCCTTTGGAAGAGAGACAAACAGAGTATGTACTTAAGCTAGGCATTAGTGGTTTACTCAGTTTAATGGGAAAGACAGAGGCTTGAGAAAATATTAGTTCATATTAGTCTGACACACCCAACTCCCCTTATATATAGAACAAACAATATGTGGTACTAATAATTGTTGCTTTGAGAAGTTGTCTAGAAACATCCTACTCCAAGAGTAGGTTACATAATTATATTAATAGCAGTAGTGTTCTTTTCAAAACCAGCTTTCCTTCTTTGCCATTATGACATGGGTCATTCAATAGTTTTCTTAGAAAAAGACCAGCAGTTTTATATAAATTACTAGGACTACGGATAGTAAAGGTCAGGCCCTACCCCTTGTGGTGAGGTAATAAAGTCCCTACTCTGTGGTTTCCTTCTATTTTTTTTTTTTTTTTTTTTTTTTTACGAGACAGGGTTTCTCTGTATTGTTTCGGAGGCTATCGGTCCAGCCCGGCTCGAACTCACAGAGATCCGCCTGCCTCTGCCTCCCGAGTGCTGGGATTAAAGGTGTGACTGCCCGGATCCTTCTATTTTTTATGTGTGCTTTTATGAAGGAGAATTGTGTTTCCGAAGCCCAGTAGATAGAATATACATAACTTTTCTCCCTCTCTGTTTTTTCACAACTAGAAATCAAGTCCTGGAAATGTTTGATCATGCATATGGCAACTATATGGTAAGTATGAAGCTTGTTTCTGCATACCGTTTACAGCATCTGAGTGTACAAAGTTAGCTGGGAATTTTGAAGCCTGAATTACTAATGCATATTTTTAAGGAAAGTTTTCAAAAAGCAGGACAAATGTAAGCTAGCAGAGTATTTCTGGTGGGGATTCTTTTTTTTTTTTTTTTCCGAGACAGGGTTTCTCTGTATTGCTTTGGAGCCTGTCCTGGAACTCGCTCTGTAGACCAGGCTAGCCTCGAACTCACAGAGATCCGCCTGCCTCTGCCTCCCGAGTGCTGGGATTAAAGGCGTGCGTCACCACCGCCTGGCTCCTGGTGGGGATTCTTAGGGAATCAATTTGTTGAACAGGTAAGAAATTGAAACCAGGTCTTGTAACTTTGTATTTAAGCAGTTTACTTCAGTGCTGGCAACAGTTAATATATGTAGGTAAACAGGAAAAAGATGTTATCTCAGGCTTTAAGGGATGTCCTTTAAGAAAAGCTGCATTACAAACCTATGAAACAAACAAACCATAAGAGATGATATCACATAGCCTCTGTACAAATGCTGTGATGTGGATTCTGAATTGAGTGCATTTTGCTTTCTGCTGATCCATTGTTTCGAAGTGTTTCAGAGGTATTGAGAGATAAGTAGCAGCTAACCCTGGAAAAGTTGTAGTATGGATGAAAGGTTCTAGAGATCTAGTACACAAAAGGTAGATAAAATAGCAAGCAAATTTTAAGAGTTCAATTTTGCATATACATTTTTGTAATTTTATAAAAAAGTTTAATCAAGTTATGCTGAGAATTTCTCCTTTTTGTATTTACATTTAAAATATACCAGGAGATTGTCTCTTATGATTATAGCCTAAGTATAGTTAGCAGATTTGACAGAGAGCTAACTTTAATTCTTTTTAAGATTCTTTTCACCTGATTCAGTAAATCCACATTCATTTGTATAGGTTAGATATCATTGTATTCTATATCATTAGTCCCCTCTTTATATATTTTTGTATTTTGTATATTTTCTTACTTATATGTCTGTGTGAGTATGTGCCATGTGTGGGTACTTCCAGAGGCCAGAAGAAAGTATCAAATCCCTAGAAGCAGGAGTTAGAGACAGGAGGTTGTGAGACACCCAAAGTGGGTACTAGGAGGAAACAGCAGGTCTTCTGGGAGAGCAGAAGTGCTGTTAGCCTCTCAGCCCTTGCTTTTATGTTTTAAACACATTTTGTATTTGATAGCCCTTGTTCTCTTTTGTTATTGCTTAGAGTGAAGTTTGACATTTAACTAATGTTTCTAGAATATGATGGTTATGAAACCTTGGATTTAAACATTGAAAACATGATAAATTTATTACTCAATGTGACTGTAGCTATTCTTTTAATATTTCTTTCAAAATCTTTTACCCCTTGTGATGGGGGATGTCCTTATATATATGTTTCTTTTATTAGTTGATGAATAAAACACTGTTTGGCCAGTAGAGGCAGGAATATAGGCGGGACTAGGAGACGAGGAGAATTCTGGGAAAGGTAGGCAGGGATTGCCTGCCAGAGAGAGATGCCATGTAGAGAGCGGGTTGATAGGACTTGCCAGGTGTTCTCTGGTAAGATGAGGCCATGTAGAAATATGCAGATTAGTAGTTGTGGCTTAGTAATTAAGACAGAGCTAGCCAATAAGTCCTAGCCATCAGTCAACAAGTTAATAATTAATATAGTGTCTTTGTGTGCTTATTTGGAGCTGAAGTGGTGGCAGGACCTGCTAGGATAAGAAAACTAACAATACCCTTGTTAGTTTTGTTTAAGGGAGACTAGTGGTATAGAGATAGCCAGCTGGATTCCTTAAAAGGTCCTTAAATTGTAGCCAGCTCATATGGGTAAACTTTTGATTCCAAAGTTGAGCAAAATGATAAACAACTAGATGAATTTGCCACATTTTGCTCTAAGTAGAGCCCTCTCCTTAGTTTTATTTATTTACTGTGTGTGTATATTTGTATGTGCTCATATGTGTGTGTATAGAGGACAGAGATTGGTACTGAATACGTTCCTCAGTCACTGTTCACCTTAAGTTTTTTGAGACAGGGTTTCTCTCTGATCCTCAAGCTCATAGTTTGGCTAGACTGGCCACTCCAGGGATCCTCCTGTCTCTGCTTCCCCAGTGCTGGGATAGGCATGAATGGCCATGTCTGGATTTTTTGTGTGGGTTCTGGGGCAAGCACTTTACTGACAGAGTCAGCTCCGCAGTCCTCAGGAGCCCCTCTTTATAGAGTATGCTTTCTTTACTATTTTAGCCCTTTCAGGTAAAGAGCAGAGAGTTATAACAATACATCTCAATGGGGCTTATGGCAGAGTGGGTACTAGGGCAGCCCTTGTAAGACTTTCTGACCCTGTTACTAATGTGACCTAACTGAGTAACTGTTTATCAGTTAACTCCTTTGAGTCAGGTCTTGTAAAATGGGACCAATTGTGAAGGATTATTGTAGATGATAAGTTTTTTTTTTAAACAGAGAGCCCTCTTTATTTTTAATAAAATCAACTTTTATATGTTTTGTGCTTAGCATGGTACTTGAACACCTAAGTGCTTATTAATTTTTTTGTTGTTGTTTTTGGTTTTTTGAGACAGTGTTTCTCTGTGTAGTTTTTTGGAGCCTGTGCTGGAACACTCTATAGACCAGGCCAGACTTTCCTGGAGCTCACAGATATCTGCCTCCCGAGTGCTGGGATTAAAAGCATGTGCTACCACTATCCGGGATATTAAATATTTTTTAAAGAACTAAATTAAATTCTTGTGAAAATGAAATCAAATGTTGCATTTGATTATTTTGATCATCTTGTCTTTTAACCTAAAAAAATTAATAAACTTTTAAAATAGAAAGTTATGCAGATTTCAGGATCTATAAACTTTCTTTTATTAGTTGCCTGTGTTAAATGTAAAGTATCTGCTATTTGATAGGCTTTTAATAATGTAGACAGCCTGTCTTTGGTTCTCACGAGTTGTTTGCTGTGTTCCTTAGCCTGTTCTACAGCTAGAACAGTTTCTTGGGCCTTCTTGGCTCCCACAGGAAGGAAATGGCACTTTCCTGAGATCAACAGTGTAGTGTAGTTATGAGCATGGACATGGGATCTGGAAGAGGGTCCCTGAGGAAGCTCTGCCACCTATCAGCCTGGTTAAGGAGGGAGGACTAACCTGATCCCAGAGCCTGTTTTCTCATCTGTATATAATGAAGTCAGTCCTTTACCTGCCTTACAGTGTTGTGCAGGCACGACCGTGGTCATTTTATACAGATTGCTAGTTAGAACTAGTGTCTGGCAGGTAGGAAACACATGTATAACTGCTACTGATAATTATAACTTTTATTACGTATTATTTGCCAGAGACAAAAATTTCTCTTGTATACTAAGTGTAATATCACATACCTCTAGTCCCAGGACTTAAAAGGCAGAGGCAGGAGGATCACCACAAGTTCCAGGTCAGCCTGGTTTATATATCAAATTTTAGGCCAACCAGGGATAAGACCCTGTTTGAAAAAACCAAAACCAAACAAAAACTAGAGAGGAAGAAATTTCTTTCCTAAAATCCATGTAGATTTGAATCCCATGTGTGTCTCTAGGTTGCAGAGAACTTCCTGAGCTCACACATCCTTCATTGTCTGGGCATGTACTCATCCTGAAATACAGGATTCTCTGTGTACTGTTTCTTGATAGAATGTTACTAAAACTCTTGACATCCCTGAAGTTACCCTGAGAGTTTCTGATTTTGTGTTGTTGGCAAGGCTATTGACATTATAATGATCGTTTGACAAATCTTCGTCCCCATCAGACTGTGGTTTATTCTCAGTGAATTAATTGCACAGATGGTTTTCTCTTTTTCCCCAAATCACATGGAATGTGATGTTTATTTTGGCAATTCTTGCATAATCTTACTTAACCCTAGACCATAGTCACTCTATGGCTTCTAATAAAAGGTTTTGCTTATCTGTGCTCATTTGAGTTTCCAAATTAATGCAGATGAGAACACGATATGTATCAGGACCATTCCTTGGGGACCTGGGGGGTTGATGATGGTGATGATGATTATGAATATGATATTTGTCTCCCAGGGTTTATCCTGGCTACTCTGGGCAATAAAACTGTTGTTAGCAAAAAGTGTACTTTTGTAGACCCCTAAGTATTACAGATAAAATTGAAAACATTTGGGAAGTATAATTTCCCTCAATTTCTGAAATCAGTATAGTCTTTTTGTTTGTTTTGAGACAGTCTCTGTATGTGGTACTGAATGGCTTTGAACTCACTATGTAGCACAGGCTGCCCTCAAACTTGTGATCCTCCTGCATCAGCCTCTCGAGTGCTGAGATTACAGCTATGCACCATCACACCCAGCTGACTAGTTTTCTTTAAGCCACAAGAGCTGTTTTTAAAAATTTTAATGAAGTTACTTTGGATTTCCAGATTTATGTCAATCTACTTAAATAAATGAAAACTTACTTTAAAAATATTCACAATACAAAATTTACGATTTTAGTCACTTTTAGGAATACTGATCTGTGGCATTTGTTGCTAGAACATCATCTTTCCCATCTGAAACTCTACATAGATTTTTCTTTTTAATCATTTATTCATCAAAAAGAGTAATCTGGAAACAAAACTGTTTTAGAAAGGGTACTAGGTCGCCTGGTAAGTTTAAGTTTGAGTTTAGAAGAGACTGCCAGACTTCATTTTGCATTTCCCACCAGTTATATATGCGCTCAGTTACTACACATCCTCTCAAAGGCCGGTGCTTTCAAGTCTTTTTAATTTTAACTGTCCTAGTGGGTGTGTGGTAGGGTTTCACTGTGACTTTAATTTCATTTTTCCTGGTGACTAATGCTGTTGAAAATCCTCCCATCCATTTCTTTTATGTTCCTGTATCTTTTTGGATGAAGCATCTGTTACAATTTTCTTTTTCATTTCAGAATCAAGTCCTTTGTCCTGCTGTTGCTGAGTTATAAAAATTATTTTCTAACTTAGGTGGGAAACC